AAAAAAAATGATTATGGCCGTTCGGGCCAAAGCTGCGCTGCGGTGTAGCGATATGGATTTTCTTTTCTGCAGCGACGTTGTTGGGGTCGCGGGGCTGTGCTAGGATAAAGTAATAGACCAACACCGTTGGTTTTAAATAAATAATAATACAAAAAAAGGTGGTCATTTAAAAAAAAAAATAGCAGGGTTGGTGCTAGCAGCGCTGGTGAAAAAAAAAATAAAAAAAAGGGCAGAGGGTTGGCGGCAACTCAACCCTGATCATATAAAAAAAAATATAATAATTATAATAAAACTTAGGTCGCTAATCCGCTGCGCCACGGGGGAAATAAACAGGGCTGTGTAATAGGAATACTCTGTTGTGTGTTTGACAAATTTACTGCCGGGGTTTGCTTCGGCCAGTAGCATCGTGGGGTTTTAAGCCACCTAACAGCTTTGGTTAAGGGCTAAGAGATAAGCGTCGATGAGAATTGATGTATTGGGTGCCAATCGTGGTGGGGAAGGTAACATTGCTGGAATGTGACACTGTGCGGAAGAGGCTCAAAATTGGTGGGACGTGTTGGTCAAACTTATCCCTACCAACATTGCATGACTAATCAATTTCATGCATTAGGCTAGCGTTGGAAGTAGCCTAGATTTTACCATAGCGGCGGTACTGCAGCCATAATTTTTTCTGGACAAAATTTGATTTGCTTCGTGATTAAAATTATTTTAGCTGATTGGATTATGTCAACAATTTGGTTCATAATTCTTATAAACCAAATTGTGGGGGGCATTTGTTGACACCTAAAATTAATTTGGCCCAAATTAAATGCCGCATTAATTAGTGTCGGCATTTAATTCGATACCGCGGGTAAAAACGGTGTCGTTTGGAGTCGAGCGGCACCGCGAAGAGTTAAAACGGTACCGCAAGGAGGCTCATCGGTACCGCGATACTAGAAACGGCACCGCGCGTTTAGTTGGTGTTGGAGAAGGAGTTTTGTTTATAATTAATTAATATTTTTATTCCTTGTTGGAGGAGGAAAATCGGTACCGCATGGAGAAAAACGGTACCGCGGAGAGTTAAAACGGTACCGCAAGGAGGCTCACCGGTACCGCAGCACTGGAAACGGCACCGCTTGCCGAAAATAAAAAACAAGGGCCGCGCGTGTGGTTTCTTGTTGGAGAAGGAGTGTTGTTTTTAATTAATTAATATTTTTATTCCTTGTTGGAGGAGGAAAATCGGTAGCGCATGGAGAAAAACGGTACCGCGGAGAGTTAAAACGGTGCCGCGAGAGCCTGGCAAGCGGTACCGACGGGCAAGTGACCAAAATTCACCCGGCCCAATGCGAGCGCCGACTGCGGTGTTTCCATGGATTAATATTTTTTGGCTATACCGGCGGTGTCGTTTAATTCAAAACGGTACCGCGAGTAAGCCCAACGGTACCGCGGACTAGCAAACGACAGTGTTTACAATAACAAACAATGTTGCAAAAAGGAAAAACAAACGGAGTTGTTATGGCGCTAGTGATGTCGTTGGCCATAGCTAGTGATGGACGGATTAATTAATTAATTAATATTTTAAAGGCTGTTTAGGACGGTGTCGTTTAGTTGAAAACGATGCCGCAAGAGGAAAGAAACGACACCGCGGATTTGAAAACGATGTCGCGGGTATAATCAAGCGGTGTTGTTTAGCTAAAAACGACACCGTTTAAGGCATCAACAACGCCGTAGTATTACTAAGCGATGTCGTTTTGTTAAAAACCATACCACGATGGTTTGGATTTTGGCGAGTGGCCCGGCAAGCTCAACGACACCGCAAGACAAGGAAAACGGTACCGTTTGGTAGAGAACAATGTCGTGGAATGAAAACGACATTGTTTGATGGGACCGGGACGGAGCAGTTCAAGGTCGGCATCGATTAGTGAAAAACGATGCCGCGGAAAGATTAAACGATGCCGCAGGAGGTATCAACGACATCGCGGTATCATAAACGATATCGTTTGATTAAAAACGATATCGCAGTGGTTAAGAGCTCGGCCAAAAGTGACCCGCCAAGCCCAACGACGGCGCGAGACTAGAGAACGACATTGTTTGATGGACTAACAATGTCGTTCGTTAAACCGGGTCGGGGCAGTTGAGTTGGATTATAAAACGGCATCGGTTGGTGAAAGGCGATGTCGTGGTATTGGTGAAACGTCATCGTTACATGGACAAGGTTGTAAGTCGTTTCGCCAAGTTTCTGCAAAGCAAGAGCGGTTTCGAGGGCACGTGATTGTCACGCAACAAGGAGTAAGTTACCTGCACAGTTGACAGGAATGAAGACGTGGGAGACAAAGGCGCCAAGGCAGTTACTACGACGGGGAGAAGCGCGAAGTATAAAGATTGGGAAGAGAGAGAAGCTCGGGACGGCAAAATCAAATCACAAACTGCACCATCGCAGATTTTATCTTTTCTCTCTCTAGTTCGTAGAACCGCTCTGTCAAAGAACTCCTTTGCAGAGTCGTAGATCGTAGCTTGTAGTCGTAGTCGCGGAGCTCTCCAGAGGAACCTCCATAGGAGTAGAGGTAACGTAACTTAGAACACTCCTGGTTCGATTTTCTGTTTATTCGAACACCCTCGTTCGAACGTAGTTTGGAGAGGTGTTGAACCGAATAACAGTTGTGTGATTAGAAGTCAAAGGTGTATCGATCAAATCAACGACGCCGACACCGGCGGCGGCCATTTGACGACCGTCTTTATTTCTGTTTTAATCGATCAAATCAACGGCGCCGACACCGGCGGCGGATATTTGACGATTTTTGCTGACGTGTGTTTTGTGTTTTACTTGAAAACCAGTGCACATTGAACACGCGAGTTTCGCCAACGAAACAAGCCGTTAGCGCGCGTTCGCTCGTCGCGGGAATTTGCCGCATTTCTCACTTTGGACTTAGCGAAGCTGTTGAGGAAAGCACATGAATGGAAGACTTTGTTGGGTTGTTTGAGAGCATATAAGTATTAACTGACCTGGGGGCTTGACGGCTGAAGCGCACGGCAGCAGGCCAGGAAGCTTCCTCAAGGCCCAATAATAGAGAAATGATGACCAAAGCCCAATTCTCGGCCCAAATTAAAAGTTAAATAAATGTGACTGGAGCCTCTGTTCTGTACTTCTGTTGCTTTGGGGGGTGTCGAATTACCAAAAAAAACTAATAAAAATTATCATATGTTCACATCCACTCATAATTCGAACTATTATTATGCATAAAAAGAGAAAAATGAGATCCAATTATAAGAGGGAATTGCAGCAATGAGCTTATTAATAATTCGGGGTAAGGGGAAGCAAATGAGCAAACGGCACTTGAATTGAATGGTGTTGATGGTTGCAGCTAGAGGTGGCAAATGGATTGGATCCATGGATTGATGGATCTATGGATTCAATGAATTGGATCAAGTGGATTGGTGGATTATCTATGAATCCAAATGACATCATCAATTAAGGACCAATATGTAAAATGTGAAAAGTTTAGGTACTAAAATGTCATAATGAAAACTTTTAGGTACCAAAATGTAATTTTTCAATAATATTTTTCGTATAAAAAATTAAATTTGGGTACCAAAATGTTTGATCCATGAATCCACCAATCCAGTTAGATTTGGATCAAATGGATTGGATTTGGTGGATATTTTTAATGGATTGATGGATTGGATTGGTGGATTGGATTGAGAATTGTCACCTCTAGTTGCAGTAAGGGCCGCTCGAGTTCATCACAGACCGTCGCAAGGAAACTGGAAACGAAAGATGAAACGACGTCGAATATGAATGATGATGAAACATATGTCATACTCTAATTTCTTCGAGCCAAGAAAGTGACCCCCCTATGTCTTGTTATTATCGTGTCCAAACTGCTGGGGTATTCCTTTTTAATTTTTACTCATTGGAGCCAGCCAACCATTAATTCTTTTTTTGACAGATGAACTACCACCAGGTCTATTCAGCGTGGATTGCGGTATATATAGAGCCCTTTACTTTAATTCTGTGTTTGTAAAACGGTACTATATATCGATGGTCCGACTGAAAATCTCTTACCGAATGCTAAATTAGTAGTCGGTTTTAGCAGTATCAGTATACACACACGTATCTCCTTCGCTTACCTTAATTAATCATTTGACATTACTAAACGATGCATGTGATCCACGAGGGAGGCTACCACTTCTGCTGCCCAATATGGTCCAACGCCTAGCTAGTGACTAGCCGACAAGCATTGGCCGATCAAGTGTTTCCATCATTTTCCTTTGGTTAGTGAAAGAGCGAAGAGGATCAAAGGAGATCTTTTTGTGATTCATACCCCACATTACTAAAAGTATTAACTACCCTCATGACTTCACTTACCTCTATACATCGATTTATATATGGAGCCGGCAGCTTATATACGAAGGTCTAATTTTATCGAACTTTTTATGATTATCATATGATATATTTGAAGGCGGACGCTATTTGTCTCGCGATATCAACTTTAGAAATGCTCTAACATAAATTTCACAAGCTATATTTTTGAGAATTTTTTTTTTTGGTAGAAATATTTTTGAGAATTTGAATTGGAAAAAATGCACGAGATTTTAGAGACGAAAAATTCACAAATTTCTCCACCACTAGTGTTGTTCTTGAAGATATTTGTAGTTGGAACTTACCTAACAACAACATCCCTGACCATTTATGGCAAAGCTTTTACTCTTTGCTCAGTGTACCACTCTTTGCAGCAAGTTTTCACCCCCATGAAATTCGTGGCTCAAGTGTTGCCATGCCATGTCAAAATATAAGAGGAAGAGAAATAGTGATGGTTCGAATCAACTGGAAATTATTCAAATAAAAAAAAATGTATTAATGACTTCCAACCCAAACTTATTTGGAGCTTCACCATTAGAAATATATATATAATTAGTTGTTTTGGAGGAGACATCAAATTAACAAGAGGATGAAACGTAAAAGGAACTACCATATTTCATTTAGATTGCAATGCTTGCATCACCTTTTTTTATTTTTTATTATTCGTTTAGGTTTTGAAAGTTGGTCACCATTTTAATCAAATGCCTTTCTCTCCCGTGGGGCTTGACCATTTCTTTCATTTTATGGGTCATGCTTAGCTAAATGTGACTTTGTAATACAATGACTTGAAGATAGACAAAGGCCAATAATTTCCCAACAAGCAACAGTGAGTTCACCCTCCATTAAAGAACTTTTTCTTATCTCCTCCCCTCTGCTTCTTACTTCCTTGGCTTCTTGCTCTCATTCTCCTGCCATTTCCTTGGTATTAAAGTTTAAATCCCTTATACATTGGCATATGTTTCTGGTTGAGAAAAAAGCAGCATGAAAGAGCTAGAGGCTATCTGGGCTACCTTCTGTGCTGATTCTGAGTGTTCATCCAGCTATGGTGGTGAAATGAACAAATGCAGCAGTTCACCATCATCGAGCTTCCAAGCTCTCATCAATCCGTACTCATGCATCAATCACCTATTAGTAATCTGTGTTCAAATCCTGCTCTTTTTCATTCTGCTATCTATATTCATAGCCAGAGTTTACCAGAGAAATAAGCTTGTTGACCCACCAAGCAATCGGATTTCGACCTCTCCATTGATTAGCACTTCAGCCATTCTCAACGGAAGCTTGAGTTTGGCATACTTGGGTTGGGGAATATGGATGTTCTTTTCAGGACCTGATAAAGGTGGCTGCTTTTCTCCACTTCACGGATCATGGTTAGTGTTGATCTTCCAAGGCTTCACATGGCTGCTGCTGAATCTAGCAGTCAGCTTGAAGAGTCTGCTCACTTCATATGCCACAGCTATTAAAGTTTGCTTGATCCTCAACTTCCTTCATTCTGGATTTCTTTGTGTGATTTCACTGGGGGAGGCTGTTCGAATCGATTCGGTCTCGGTGCAGTTGGTTCTGGACATGCTGTGCTTTCCTGGATCCATTCTGTTTCTTGTATGTACTCTCAAGCCATCTGTCAGTGTTCAAGGAATCAGCCATGGTGGTGATGGTTCCTGTGAGGAGCCTTTGCTTCGAGGCAATGCAGAAGCTGATGATCAAAATGTGACTCCTTTTGCCAAAGCTGGAATTTTCAGCAGAATGACATTTTGGTGGCTGAATCCATTGATGAGAAAGGGTAAAAACAAATTACTTGATGATCAAGATATCCCCTTTCTACGAGACGAGGATCGAGCCGAGTCTTGTTACTTAGTTTTGATGGGTCACCTGAGGAAGAACACACAGAAAGGATCTCCTGCAATGTTGAAAGCGATCATTTCCTGGCAATGGACAGGCATTTGGGTTTCTGGGATCTGGGCTTTGATCAAGATTCTCACTTTATCCACAGGCCCACTCTTCCTGAAATCCTTTGTTGAACTTGCTCAAGGCAAAGAAGCCTTTAAGTACCAAGGCTATGTCCTGACTCTAGTACTCTTCCTGGCAAAATGCTTGGAGTCTTTGTCAGAAAGGCAGTGGTACTTCGAAACAAGGCTAATTGGGATCCAGGTGAGATCCATGTTGTCTGCAGCAATTTATCACAAGCAACTGAAGCTATCCACTGCAGCCAAAGCCAGTCACTCTTCAGGAGAGATAGTGAACTATGTGACGGCTGATGCTTACAGAATTGGGGAGTTCCCATACTGGTTTCATCAGATTTGGACGACGTCATTTCAGTTGTGCCTTGCACTGGTGATCATCTACTCTGCTGTCGGCTTGGCAACTGCTGCAGCTGTGCTTGCCATCTTGCTTGTAGTCCTCCCAACATACCCTATGATAAAATGGCAGCACAAGTACCAGACAAACCTGATGTCAGCACAGGACAAGAGGCTGAAGGCAATCTCCGAGGCCTTGGCTAATATGAAGGTCTTGAAGCTGTATGCATGGGAGAAGCATTTTAGGAATGTGATACAAGGGTTGAGGAATGAGGAGTTTGAATGGATATCTGGAGTGCTTTCGGTGAAAGGTTTACAAATGGTCTTGTTTTGGACATCTCCAGTTCTTGTCCCAGCTATTACTTTCTGGGCAAGCTACCTTTTGGGGATCCCACTCACTGCTAGCAATGTGTTTACAACCTTGGCCAGCCTTCGGCTTCTCCAGGAGCCTATTCGGTTGATCCCAGATGTAGTTGGGGTGTTCATTGAGGCGAAGGTTTCTTTGGATCGAATCGTGAGGTTTCTCGAAGCGCCTGAACTTCTGAACATAGGTGTTAAACAGAAGTTCAATACTGTGCTTGATCAGTCCATAATCATTAGTGCCACTGAGATCTCATGGTATACTGAGTTACCATCATCCAAGGCTACATTGAGAAACATTAACTTGGAGGTCAAGAAATGTGAGAAGGTTGCGATTTGTGGAGAGGTTGGATCAGGGAAGTCGACCCTTTTAGCTGCTGTACTTGGAGAAGTTGCATGGATCAATGGAAAGGTAAAGTCAGCTAAACTCTCACCAATAGTTGAAGTGCTACTTGATCATAGCCATCTGTTGATTCCTTTTCCCATTTTTTTTCAGGTGAGAGTTTATGGGAAGATAGCATATGTATCTCAGGCAGCATGGATCCAAACTGGAACCATACAAGACAACATCCTATTTGGGTCTGCTATGGAAAGAATGAGATATCATGAGGTTCTTGACAAGTGTTCGCTGGTAAAGGATCTAGAGATGCTTCCTTATGGAGATTTAACTCAGATTGGAGAGAGAGGAGTGAACCTGAGTGGTGGACAGAAGCAAAGGGTTCAGCTTGCTCGTGCATTGTATCAGAACGCTGATGTTTATCTCTTGGACGATCCTTTCAGTGCTGTTGATGCTCATACAGCAACTAATCTCTTCAATGTATGTCAACAACAAAAACATACCATATTCTTTTCATTGGTTGTCTTTTGGAATTGAAGCATTTGCATGATTAATGTTGTTCTTGCAGGAATATGTCATGGAAGCTTTGGCTGGGAAGACGGTCTTACTGGTGACCCATCAAGTTGACTTCCTTCCATCTTTTGATTCCATTTTGGTTAGATTTCGTGTCCTAATTCTCATCATGGATTTGATCCATTAGGACATATGGAGCTAATATCTTATTTTCACAGCTGATGTCTGGAGGGGAGATAATACGAGCAGCTACTTATGACCAGCTGATGTCTTCCAGTTCAGAATTCCAGAAACTTGTGGATGCACACAAGAACACAGTTGGTTCAGAAAGCAAGCCTGCTGAAAAAGATTCATCGTCTTCCTCTTCTTCTATCACAAAGGCTGCAACTTCTGGAGAAGAAATACAGCGAATACGCGCTACTGAACAGTCAAATGCACCTGCACAAGATCAACTGATAAAGCAAGAGGAAAAGGAAACAGGAGACACTGGTTTCAAGCCATATGTGCAGTATTTGAACCATGGAAATGGGATTCTTTACTACTCATTGGCACTCATAGCCCACACCATATTTGTACTGGGAAACCTCTTGCAGAACTATTACTTGGCTGCAGGCATCCAAGATCCTAAGATTAGCAAAGTGAATCTGTTGGCTGTTTACTCAGCTATTGGAGGAATCATGGCAGCTTTCTTGCTTGTTAGATCATGGCTTGTGGTTAAGTTGGGCTGTGTGACGTCAGAATCCATCTTCTCAAAGCTGCTAGTTTCTCTTTTCAGAGCACCCATGTCATTTTATGATTCAACACCTTTGGGAAGGATTCTAAGCAGAGTGAGTGAAGACAAAATGAATCCCTCCTCCCACACCTTCCTATATGTTTGAGAGACTAACGATGTAAAGTTGTATTTTTTCTGTGTGAATAGGTGTCAGCTGATATGAGTTTAGTTGACCTTGAAATGGCTTTCAAGTCAACGATTGCTGTAGGATCAACTATGAACGCCTACTCAATCTTTGCAGTTCTGGCTTTCATTACCTGGCCTGTCTTGTTTGTCATCATTCCCTTGGTTTACCTCATCATAATCGTACAGGTAGATACTTGAAGATTTCTTCCTTGATTAACATGATATTACCAATCATCAATTTGCTATGAGTTCATAGAAATAATGGTGAATGACACCTGGTTGTTGCTTCAATCGCAAGAAATACTATATCGCTTCGTCCAAGGAGTTCATGAGGATCAATGGGACCAGCAAGTCGACCCTAGCAAGCCACCTGGCGGAATCGATAGCAGGAGCAATGACAATCAGAGCCTTTGGAGAAGAAGAGAGGCTTTTTGCAAAGAACTTGGAGCTCATAGACAGGAATGCAAGTCCATACTTCCATAGCTTCACTGCAAACGAATGGCTCATCCTAAGGCTTCAGTTTGTCTGCGCAATAATCCTCTCTTCCACCACACTCGCCATGGCAATGCTTGATCTTGGAGCTTCAGCTTCTGGTTTGTGGAAAAAAGTTGCAAACTTTGAGAACAATTAAGCCCCTCTCCAAACTCTAACTACACCTTTCTTTTATTGCTGTTGTTGTATAACAGGATTCATTGGCATGGAGCTTTCATATGGGCTCTCACTGAACCTCTTCCTGCTGGTTTCAATCCAGTTTCAGTGCTTGGTTTCAAACCTGATAATCTCAGTAGAAAGGCTGGAGCAATACACTCACATCGATAGTGAAGCTCCAGAAGTCATTCCCTCCAACAGGCCTGAACCAAACTGGCCTACCATTGGCAAGGTGGAAGTCACCAATTTAAAGGTGAGAAACAAGTAGCAGCACAATGACAATCAATCAAGTTGCTGCCTTTCTATTAACACCCTTCTGATTTCCCCCACAAATTCTCAAAACCCAGGTGAGGTACCGCCCAAATTCACCACTAGTCCTTCAAGGAGTAAGCTTCACAGTTGAAGGAGGGCACAAAATTGGGATAGTTGGAAGGACAGGAAGTGGGAAGACAACCCTAATCAGCGCCTTGTTCAGGCTAGTGGAGATCGAACCAGAAGGAGGGAAGATAGCCATAGATGGGATCGACATTTCCCAGATCGGACTCCATGATTTGAGGTCTCGTCTAGCCATAATCCCTCAGGATCCCACGCTCTTCGTTGGTACTGTGAGGTATAACCTCGACCCTTTATCAGAACACACGGACGAAGAGGTGTGGCAGGTCCTGGAGAAATGCCATCTGAAGGAAGCCATTGGGGGAAAACAAGAGGGATTGAATGCTCCAGGTAATTAGAAAAAGAAAAAAAAAAATTGACTTTGCCATCGTGTTGAGAACTCTTTTAGGGTTTTTGTTTGAACGATTATAATGGTGGGCAGTGGCACAAGAAGGGAGCAACTGGAGCATGGGGCAGAGGCAGCTGTTTTGCCTTGGAAGAGCGATACTGAAGAGGAGCAGGATTCTGGTGCTGGACGAAGCAACAGCTTCCATTGACAACACCACGGATGCCATCCTCCAGAGAACAATAAGAACTGAGTTTGAGGATTGTACAGTCATTACAGTGGCGCACAGGATCCCTACTGTCATGGACTGCCACAAAGTGCTTGCTATAAGTGATGGCATGTGCTTCCTTTGTGATTTTCTTCGTTTTCCAGCTCTGTTATACGAGGATTTTTAGTGACGTTACTTTGTGTTTGTTCATTGTTTTGTGACGACAGGGAAAGTGGTGGAGTATGATGAGCCGATGGAGCTGATGAAGCGAGAGAGTTCGTTGTTTACACAACTTGTGAAGGAGTATTGGTCGCGTACATCGGACAACACCATTGGATGAAATGTGTGCTAATGAGTGTTTGTTGTGAACTTGTGATGTTAAATGTGCATCATTATCATGTTATGTATTGATAGAGGCATAGTTGGTTCGGTTAGACGGTCCAAGCCGGATCCCAAACCCAACTACAAATATTGTCAGCAGAGAGTGAAAGAAAATTTTCTTTATATATTTGGATATTGAAGTCAGATTATTATGAAGAATTAATAAGTCAAAATTTCTAATTTCATCTTGTTCTTCGTTTCTCACATCTATCTTCTTCCATAAATTCTCATATTTTCTTTAATCAAACTACCTCAATCACTAGCTACCCATCATTCATCCATCATGTATCAAGACCCAAACTAATATGAATCGTCAATTATCAAAAAATTATAAAACAATGGTAGTATTGTATATCGTTTTTGAACAATTTGACTCACCAATTATTATTATTAGAATTATTAAACCACAAGTAGACAAAACTTACCATAAACCGAAATTACTGTTCCTTACGAAAAAAGCGCGTTTCACTGTTCACTAATAGGGCTGGGTGATTGCCTGCGGAGTGCGGACTAATTCACATGAACTCATGTGCATTTATCTTGGGTAGGCCAAGTTCGGCCTTTGATCTAAGTTTAAAGTTGAAAAATGCATGAGCTCACAAACACACAGCTGTACCTGATCAGTCGACCCCTTAAAAAACAAAATTGGTGGGTTTCCCCATTCTTCCTTTCTCCCACCTCCCAAAATCACTGAACGGCTTCCCTCTCCTCTATCCTCTCGAGAGCTCTTTGCCCAACTCCCATCTCCTTAGTCCTAAGTCCTTGCCCACTGAACGCAAAAATGCCTGATTTTCCCTCTCTCTCACCTCCCGAACCAATTGGACAGAAGCCGACGAACGACGACCAATTTCTCTCCCCCCTCCTCCTTGAACCCGCTGAATGGACGCCGACGGGAAGACAACGGCGACGAAAGATTTCCCATCCCGATTCCCTCCTTTCTCCCAACTCCCGAATCCCTAAACCAACCGAATGAACGCCGACCAAAGACCCTGAATCCGCTGAATGGACGCTGGCGGACTGTGAAGCCGTGGATGATGGGTCCTCCTCTCTGCGAAATTGAATCCAAGGACGACGGTTCCTCCGCCAAGTCGCACCTCAAAGTTGGGTTGTCCAACATCCCTCCACTCTCATCTACGAGGAAAAAACACCAAGCAAGGTAACTGTTAGCTCATTTCAACATCAAGTGTGTTCTGAAATGATATTGGTTTTGTCTTTGTTATTAAAAGGGGAAGAACTAAGAAGGATTGTGGGAGAAGGTGTTGAAATGGGTTTTGTCTTTGTTATTAAAAGGGGAAGAACTAAGAAGCTGTTGAAAGGGGAAGAACTATTAAGGGTGCTTGGCTGCTTGCTAATGGGATTGCCGGTTGTCTTGAGGAGAGGCAGAGGAGAAGGAAGACAAATTTGGGGTGGTGACATCTGTTTTCAATTGTGCTCAAACTTATCTAAGTGTCCAACATGCAAATCATTGAACTATGTGTAAATAAAAGGGAAGACTAATTATCACTAATAATAAAACTAAGCTGCAAAGTGTTTTTGTTTCATGGCTATTTTGCTTTGAGTAGAATTTGATCCATTTCATTATCATTTCTTTTTTTTAAACATCACTCATGGTCCATTATTGTATAATGACATCTTAATCGGATGTTCCGAAAGGAACACTTTCAAATGTCCAACCACATTTAATTAGAGGCTTATACCCGGATCAAAATCTGATCAGAGAACATAAACAATTAACAAAAGTTAAATTATTAGTATATTTTGTTTGTTACTGTCGGGCGTATTTGGCGATTCCTTTTAGTTTCACAATAGTATATGCAAGTCCATGCTTACATTTTCGTTCAATTCAAGCTAATAAATTCCCAAACAATAGTGTTCTCTTAGGTTATATGGTTCATATTGGGGTTTTAATTAATTACCAATGGGATGAGTAATGATTAACTAACCCACGGAGAGGTTAGAAGTAGGGCAATTGAAAAGAGATGAACAAATAGTTCGACCGGTAGGGAGGGGAGAGAAGTCACTTGATCAATAGTAAAAGGAAAAAAGTAGCTCGACTGATAGGAAGAGTAAGGAAGTAGCTTGACTAAACGGAGATGGTTGTTTGATCCATCTTATTTATATTTTAATGTAATAGGCTTATATATATTGTTGTACTGAACACTACTCATTTAAGCCGCCAATACTGTCTTCTAGCTTGACAGTATAATAGTTATTTAGCTTCAAATACTTTAATTATTATAAATATTTGTGTGTTCAACACTCTATACTTTCATACATTTCTATTGCGCTATGGATTTGTAAATCATCCACTATTTAAAACATAAGAATACCCGGCGCGTAGCGCGGGCTAAATAACTAGTGGGAAATTTAAAATATGTGTTCAAGAAAGTACTAACTTCATGGTTTCGCTTGTTGAAGCCTAATAAAGGACAAAATCATAAGTCCACCACTCATTTCCATGGGTCCTAATTAGAGCCGAACATATTAGAAGTGGTTTGACGTTTGATTCAGGGGAAATTCGTTTGACATCTGGTTGACTAGTGAGCTGATCTTTCTTCAATTTGTGAGGCTCGTGAGCCAATTTGACTTAGTGGTTTGTTGAGTTCAACTCGTGAGTTGGTTTGTTTTGAGTTTATAAATTTGCTCGACAATGTGGCTTGCGAAACAGCTCGACTAGGAGTTTATGAGGGAATTTATTTGTAGCTTATTTTGGTTGTTGATGATTTGTTTGTTTATTAGTTACATATCTCGTGAACTCGTAATAAGTCGAAATCATATCAAACACGAGTCAAAGTTTCTATAGTAAACTTAATCTGAATTAGACAAAACTACCTTAGATCATTTTGCATACCTAGTCTTAGTCCTAGTCCATCTTATACTATATTCTAATAATTGTAAAACTATATCGAATGTTGTACGGGAAAAGTCAGCGATAAGCTATTTTCAAACTTAAAGATAGTTTAATCATAATTATTTTATACTACTAAAAATTATATGTCGATTTACACTCCATTAAAAAAATCACGAGTAGAAATAGATACGATACTATTTTACAAACGACTATTTTCATTTTGAGCTGCCCTAAAGGGGGAAAAAACGCCCTTTGCGCACGTGAGCATCAACAAACTTTGGCCATCACCAACCACCGTCGTCGCCCGCCGTCAACCCACCTACTTTGACTGCTTTTGAACCGGCTCCGTCGCTCCACTACCACCAAACGCCGCCGTTCCGGGTTGTCCGCTACCTCCATAGGAATCATCGACAGTCCTTCTTCGCTACTCACAAAGAACAACAGCCAGCTCCTCGTTAGTTGTTGAAAAAAAACACCTCTTCGCTCCCTCGACGAGTCCGTCCAAATTGAAATTGGCATAATTTCCCCAAAGGCCAACACTCCCCGATTCCCACCCACCACTCCTTCTATATAGAACTCCGCCTTCCCCGTTTCCTCATCCCTCCTCCGCCGCCGCCCAATTTCCTTTCAAATCTTTCCTTTTCCCCATCAATGGAAGCCTCCACCCTTTCCCGCATCGGGCTCGCCGGCCTGGCCGTGATGGGTCAGAACTTGGCCCTCAACATCGCCGAGAAAGGCTTCCCGATCTCCGTCTACAACCGCACCACTTCCAAAGTCGACGAAACCCTCCACCGCGCGCAGAACGAAGGTCCCTTCCCTCTCTCCGGCCACTACACTCCTCGCGATTTCGTCCTCTCCCTCCAGCGGCCCAGATCTGTCATCATCCTGGTCAAAGCAGGGTCCCCCGTTGACCAGACCATCGCCGCACTTTCCGAGCACATGGAATCCGGCGACTGCATCATCGACGGCGGGAACGAGTGGTACGAGAACACCGAGCGCCGGATTCAGGAGGTGAGCAATCGGGGGATTCTTTATTTGGGTATGGGTGTCTCCGGCGGCGAGGAAGGTGCACGTAACGGCCCTTCCTTGATGCCCGGTGGGTCTTTCGAAGCTTATAATAACATCAAGGATATCCTAGAGAAAGTAGCTGCTCAGGTTGAGGATGGTCCTTGCGTTACTTATATTGGGGAAGGTGGAGCTGGGAATTTTGTGAAGATGGTTCACAATGGGATTGAGTACGGCGATATGCAGCTCATCTCTGAAGCTTATGATGTGTTGAAGAACGTGGGCGGGTTGTCGAATGAGGAGCTTGGTGAGATTTTTGGGGAGTGGAATCGAGGGGAGCTCGAGAGCTTCCTGATTGAGATCACTTCCGACATTTTCAAGGTTAAAGATGATCTTGCCGATGGGGAGTTGGTGGATAAGATTCTGGATAAGACTGGGATGAAGGGTACTGGTAAATGGACGGTTCAGCAGGCTGCTGAGCTCTCTGTTGCTGCACCCACCATTGCTGCTTCTTTGGACTGCAGGTACTTGAGTGGGTTGAAGGAAGAGAGGGAGAATGCTGCAGAGATTTTGAAGGAGGCTGGATTGAAGGAGGAAGTTGGAGCTGTGAAGAGTGGCATTGATAAGAAGAGGTTGATTGATGATGTGAGGCAGGCATTGTATGCTTCCAAGATTTGTAGCTATGCACAAGGGATGAATCTCTTGAGGGCCAAGAGTATCGAGAAAGGCTGGAACCTGAATTTGGGAGAGATGGCCAGGATTTGGAAAGGCGGGTGTATTATCAGGGCAGTGTTCTTGGACAGGATCAAGCAGGCTTATCAGAGGAATCCAAACTTGGCTAGCTTGATTGTTGACCCAGAATTCGCCAAGGAGATGGTTCAGAGGCAAGCGGCCTGGAGAAGAGTTGTGGGTACGGCCATCTCAGCAGGGATCAGTACACCTGGAATGTGTGCTTCTCTTGCTTACTTCGACACTTACAGGCGTGCTAGACTGCCAGCCAATCTTGTCCAGGCTCAGAGGGACTTGTTTGGGGCACATACTTATGAGAGGGTCGATCGCCCTGGTGCGTTCCATACCGAATGGACAAAACTCGCTCGCAACAGCAATGCTGCTGGTGTGCATGCTTTGAACTAAAGCTTTGATGTTGAAGACCTGTTGGGGTTTGTCTTGATTGTTTCTGGGTTGCGATTGGGTTGTTTGCCTATTTGAATTTAGAAGAAAATGTATGTTGCGCATTCAGGAAAAGATTGGCTAGGCATAGCAAAGGACCATTTAGTTGTTTACTTTACCGCTAATAAGAAATGCTTGCCTCTTTAGACTTCATTGAGTTTACAACGGAAATGGAAATAGTTATGTTTCTTCGCCTGATTATTTTTGCTTCCTACTTAATTGATTTTCCCAGTTAGAATTTAGAAAAGTAATTGAAAGTTGAAGTCTTTCTATTGATACAAAGCAATACATGGGCATCTGTTACTTGCCATACTTTCATATAGTCACAACCTTTAGAAGGGATTGTGGTACAATGGTTACCGTGATCAACATGGAAGAAGAAGACTGAAGAAAAGTTAGGTGTATGGAAATTTTACAAGTAGTAGTTCTGTTTCTTCCCATGTTCGTTCTGCATCTGGGTTTTACTTTCCCAACAAGAAAATGATGGAAAGTTGAAATCTTTCAGCTGATACAGAGCATAAAGTGAGAAAAAGGAAAGGCGAAACGTGAATGAGAGAGAGCTATGGAAAATAGCCAGTTTCAATTGTTGGCTGGGTTCTGGTAACAGCTGCAGACGGCATTTTGCTACTCCTTATCCATACAGTTTGAAGAACTAAATCTTCATCAGCGTGTCTTTCCATTACCTGAATCTTCTTCGTCTTCAAAAGCTTCTTAGACAACAAGAATCCGAAATACGCCACCAGAACCAGTCCCGCCATCCCAACCACAATCCCCACCACCATCCACAGAAACCAGAGCTTCTTCTCTTTCCTGTGAAACCCTTCTTCTGGAACCACAACAGAGAAATGACCTTGATCCTTAACATAACAGGCATCCAACTCCTCCATTTCTCTGAGATCGAAGCTCCCATCACTACCAAACACAATGCACTGTGCTCCAGACCTCTCCTTGATTCTTCCTCCTGGAAAGTTCACAGCAACAGACTTCTCTCCCGTGTCGAGGCTAATCTTTCTGATCATGTTTCGCGCACTGATATTCGACACATCAAAAACCTGAAACCCGACTACTGGAGCGAGGAACGAATAGCCTTCAACACTGTAGTACTCAGACGACCGATTTCCCAAGTCTTGGTACACAATCGCCAGCCTCTTGACGTGAGGCATGGGCATGGTTCTTGGAGGGATCCTGAAGTTGCTGAAGTTGGCGCCAAGATTCCATAGCCTCCTGCTTCTCAGCCTTACGACCGAGACCCGGATACCTGATAGATTGGAAGGGAGCAGAGTTTGGTAGAGAGCACCAGTGTGGCGGCGGTATTGGACAACGGTTTGGAAAGCTGAAGCTTCGAGGAAAGCATCCAGAGATTCGGCAGTGAAGTCATATAAGCCATCTGCTGATGCTGAAATGCATAGTTGAATTATCAGTAACCAGATGAGATTCAGACCCATGTTTGAATGCTTTCTGGGTTTTGAAGAACAACTTTCAGGGATTGAGAAAAGACAGAAAGCTTTCCGGTTTGATGGTGCATATGTGAACTAGCTGAGCATCCGCTCTAATGGGTTCCCAAGGTTTTCTTTCCTCTTTTGCTTTTATTTATTCACCCCCCTTAAAAGTCATTATGCTCAATAATTCATTCTGCCCCTTCAAAAGCTGCATTAGGAAACCAATTTTGATGAATTATGATGTTTTGCCAAGCATGCCCACTGTGGGGTCCTAAAGAAGAAGAAGAAGAAGAAGCCGTTGCAGTTGACTTGTGAGTCCAGGGGAAGTCCAATCAGAAGTTGAGGGAAAAGCTTAGCTATCTTTCTCCCATTGGTTCTCCCAATCCCAATCATGGCCGGTAATTGCTCTGCCTCGGCAGCATTTCCACACACGGCATGACTGGAAAGATCCCAATGTTCTTTTCACCATTTGAACACCTTCATTAGGTTTCTAGTGGATAGAGAGATTGATCAAAGTATTCAGAAGTATCTGCAGCCTGTTAAAACACACATACAAAGAAAGGGAATGGAGATTCGGCAGAGTAATTGTCAGTTCTGCTTCTGCACTAAGTAAATGCATATGGTCCATCATTATATGATTGTTGTAGATGAGAAAAGTTCTATTATTTTGCCCCCTCTTTTAGAAAGCATGGTTCTTTTTCACTAACTGACAATGATGGAACTACAAAAGTAAACACAGTACAGAGGATCCACAACCATGGCAGCAGACAAGTGAAATAAACAGCAGAAGTTGTTTCTTCTTTTTAGATGATTGCAGCAACACTTCAGCATTACAGAAAATGCAGAGGCTTATAATTTTATCCAAGGAGCTCTTAATTCCATTTCATCATGTTTGGCTACATCTTTGGAGATCAAAAACAGCATGTCGTCGTTAGCCGCCTACCCAAGATTTTCTTACAACACAAAGTAGGCCACATTGGCTGGAATCAACATAGGTAGTCAAGACCAGCTGCTCAAATCTACCTAGTTCTCTGCCGAGCACGTAGAAAAACCTATATGAAGGAAACAGTCAAACCACAAGAGCAATGATCATTTTCTCAAAATTCTCACTGCCTTATGGTCAACTCAGCCCTAAGATGCAGAATACTATTGATGAAGAAAGGGCTGTCCTCGGCCATGAATGCCTCCCATGGAACACCAAACAGGTTCCTATATCCAACAGCCTTCCCTCCTGTGAAAGTGTAGTTTCCCTTATACTTGCTCACAAACTCATCTGTCGGCTTTGACCTAGCAGCAAACTCATAATCAACAGCAAAGCTCACTGATCCTTTCTCCTGCATCCCTAAAAACAGTCCAAAGCAGTGGAAAGAGCTCTGTTGGTCCATATTGCAGTGTGCAGACAAGAAAAACCCTTGCCCGCCAAGGTGAAAGGCTTGAGAGTAGACCCTGCCAGCTGGGAACAGATGTGTACACTCGTCACGTTTTAGGTCAAGATAGACCACACATTGCTGGCGTGGAAGATCAAACTCCACCACCTTAACGGGTCGGTACTTGTACGATCTCTCCACAAGGCGGCGATAGGGAGCATTGGCCTCTTCTAAAGCAAGAGCGCGCTGCCTATATGGCGTCTCACCTTTAAAAAAAAGAGCATCCAGAACAACCTTGGATGCCACATCATGATCAAAGTCATTACATGTCAGGACCTTCCTCAGCTTTCGGCACGTCATGAATGCAAAACGAATTAATCGGACAAGACGGGTTCCCAGGACATCCCGACGTTCCTCTAATCTGGGATACTGAATGCGGGCCCACTTAAGTACGAAATCATAAACAGCATCCTCTGAAGCTACTTGGAGATCATCACTGGCTAATACCGCCTCAATTCCAGCTAGTGGCAAGTTAAGAACCTCATCTTGGAACCTAAGAGAGAATAAGTATATTAAAACATTTTTCTACCATTTGATGGAAATACAGAGACTAAAAATCAAAGGAACATGAAAGGCCAAGAATTGACAGTTCAGCCAATCGAAAAACTAAGTAATGAAGAAGCATATATTGACTAACACAACCATATTCTCTGGTCCTGCTTTAGAGAGAGTCAGACTGAAACTTACTTAGACATATCCTTGTAACGTCCAGCAAGAAATTGCTTTGCAGCATCAGTAAGTGGCTGAACTGCTTCAGCCATTAGCACAGTAGATGGAAGGTCCAAGTAGAGCAACGCGGACTCACTAGTCATAGGCAAGTTTCTAAGTAACCTACTACAGTATCTCATACACGACACAACTTCAAACTTGTCGGCAGCCATCAATACATCCAACAAAGCAGTAGGGGTTGTTGAAGATAATGTATTGCTATACATAAAATTGAGGAGTTCCATTAGGGCTGCTTCTTCTGTTCCAGGGGGCAATCCAGCAAACAGAAAAATAATGAAAATCAGAACCCTTCCCCTTCAAATGTGACATAAGTGGCTAGCACCAGAATTACAAGCAAAGAGAAATTAAATTTACCAGATTCATGTATTCGAAGTGTTACATGCCGTTGATCCGACTCTCTCATCCCATTCGAAAACAACTGCAGGAAGGACTAAAGGAATTATAGTAGGCAATAATAGCAAATTAAGTACAGAACAGGAAAATGGCGCAGCAGCTAACCTTGTAGAAGAATGGACTCTTAGCCGCTAATATAGGTGAACTAATGTGTATAGTATTAACTCTAACTACAGCTGAACAGTCCATGCTCCAGCCAGATTCACTGCCAGTAGGGGCATCATCACCTGATAATAATAATAATAATAATAATAAAAAATCATCAAATAGAATCCCAGGCAACCCCACCTTGCCATTTAATAGGACTTAATAATTGTAAGAACGGAAGTCAGGGATGAAAGAAGCACCTTGTTCGTTCAAATTCAATCCGCCGTCTGCAGCCGATTCCTCTATCATTGCCACAACTTCTTCATCCTGGTTATCATAAGCCAAAGTTTCCTCTACATCTGGCACATTCAAGTTTAGAACTTGCTCTGCGCTTTGCCCAATAACTTCAGCCACTGCCAACATCCCCAGAAGGAAGGAAACCAAACACGTCTGAATCAGAAACAGCACTTAGGAGATCAAGCTAAGATTGCAAGGACAAAAAACTTCCAGCAAGCTCCCAAACACAGGAAACCAACGAACACCTTTTCACATCTCATTTTCACTCCTTAGAACTATGGTATTAGCATCTACAACATAAATGAACATGACAAGCTCAAAACTTTTCACCAACAAACGATGTCTGATTCATTCATCAAATCCAGCAGGTTCAAGTTCAACCACCTAGACCGAGCCAGTTTCATACTTTGAATTCTACGAACCAGAGTCTGAAATAAGGACGAACTTAACATAGAAACAGAACATAAGACCCGAAAATTTATTCAAAATCCAGAAACAAGGAACCTTCACTTCAACGGGTAAGAAAAGCACCAGGGTTTATAGCCGGAAACTAACCGTTTTCCTTCTTAATCTCCTCCCTCCGGCGCTTCCGGTTACGGGCCCACTCGGCTAAGGTGATGCAACCATCACCGTCTGATTTGGTGTCGGGCAAATCGGGGATTATCTCAATCTTCAGGACCCTATCGGAGAAATTCCGATCGTTGAAAGCAAATCCAAAGTCAGAATCGGCGGAGGAGCCACTAGTTCTCGTCGGAGAGAAATCGGAGTCCATCAGCGTCCGGGGCTCGAAGAGGTCGGCACCCAGCTCTCTCATCGCGACCCTACCACCACCACCACCACCACGACCGCAGAAATGGAAACCCAATCGCCCCAAACTTCAATCCCTTCTGCCAGATTTTACAATTTATGCTTTCGCTGTCATATTTATGGTGTGATTCGAAAACCTAGAGAGCAAGGAAGAAATGACAGAGCAAGAGATAGAGAGACAGGGAAGATAAAAAAGAAAGATTCAGGCAGAGAGTCGTTGAATAGTTATTTCTATTTTGTTGTCTGTTTACATTTTCTTCTTAATTATTATTTGTTGCGTGTTTGTTTCCCGAGAAATTTGAGGGGGAAATGCTCTGCCTCTACTGTTCGTTGGAAAGCGGTTCGGCAATTTTGGGCTCAGCGAGAGTACGTTCGCTTTTGAATTGGGCCCAAAGTCCAACAGTCTAGAGATGAGCCCAAACGGAAGGTGTTAGAACTCGTCGTTCTTCCAAGCTACAAGCCGATGACGAACTCATTTCGTTATTATGAAGCCTGAGCCTCACTGTAAGTTCTGGAGTTTGAGCATTGGCTAGAGGTCGTTCGGATGAATGAATGATGGAAAAAATCAAGCTACAAAAGCTATGCAAACAGAGCACACATTCATCGTGGCAGATCACTAGGGATAAAAAAAAAAAAAAAAACGTCTTCATTAGCTCCATTATAGAATCCTTCAACCAAGTAGGTTACATGTGTAGAATCAGCAAGTTTTAGTTAAACTGCAGCTCACAGTTCACTAGCAAATGTAAATTTATGAGCATTCAAGAAATCGATCCACAAGGTAAGTCGAGTCAGTGGCTTGCTGAGAATACTCATTGCTTGAGGGTCAGTTCTGCTCTGAGATGGAGAATGTCATTGATGAAGAAAGGGCTGTCATCTGCCATGAACGTTGCCCACGGTACTCCAAACAAGTTCCGGTAACCCACAGCCTTCCCTCCAGTGAAAGTATAGTTCCCTTTATACTTACTGACAAACTCATCGGTTGGCTTAGACCTCGCAGCAAACTCATAGTCAACAGCAAAGCTCACTGATCCTTTCTCTTGCATCCCTAGAAACAGTCCAAAGCAGTGAAAAGAGCTCTGTTGGTCCATATTGCAGTGGCCAGACAAGAAAAAACCCTGCCCTCCTAGGTGAAATGCTTGTGAATACACCCTGCCAGCTGGAAATAGTTGCGAACATTCCTCACGTTTGAAGTCCAGGTACACTACACACTGTGGCCTGGGGAGTTCGAAATCCACCACCTTAATAGGACGATACTTGTACGCCCTCTCCACAAGCCGGCGATGGGAGGTGTTTGACTCCTCTGAAGCAAGGGCACGTTGTCTATATGGCGTCTCACACTTGAAAAACAGAGTATCGATAACAACCTTGGAGGCAAGTTCATGGTCCAAGTCATTACAAGTCAATACCTTCTTGAGCTTTCGGGATGTCATGAAGGGAAAACGGATTAGTCTTGCAAGTCTCGTTCCCATGACTTCTCGGCGTTCATCTAATCTGGGGTAATGAAGGCGCGCCCACTTAAGCAAGAAATCATACACGGCATCCTCTGAAGCTACTTGGACATCATCACTTGAAAATATTGCCTCAATACCAGCCAATGGCATGTTGAGCACCTCTTCCTGGAACCTAGTGGATAATGTGAAGAAGAATAAACTTAGAAAGTCCAAAAATAAGAGAACGATGATGAAACATCAGTTGCAAAGGAACTCACTTAGATACGTCTTTGTATTGGCCAGCAAGATATTGTTTTGCAGCGTCGGTCAATGGCTGAACCGCTTCAGCCATTATAACAGTAGAAGGAAGGTCCAAATACAGGAACGCTGACTCACTAGTCATAGGCAAATTCCTCAGTAACCTACTGCAATATCTCATGCATGATGAAACTTCAAACTTGTCAGCCGCCATCAATACATCCAACAAAGCTGGAGCTGTGGTCTTTGATAAGGTGCCACTGTACATAAAATTCAGCAGTTCCATCAAGGCTGCTTCTTCTGCTCAATACAGGAAAACAGAGAAAACAATCAGATCAAATTCGTCCAATGAAGAGTCCATAACTAGCACTAGCATTAGGCAGGAAAGAAAAAAAAAATACAAAGTATACCGCATTCGTGAATCCGAAGAGTTACATGACGTTGATCCGACTCTTTCATTCCATTGGAGAACAACTTCACGAGGTAAGCAAGAAAAACAATAAAGAACAATAACCCACAAATCAATAAAATTCAAAGAACATTGAGAAAGGAGAAAGGTGCTCACCTTGTAAAAGAATGGGCTCTTTGCAGCTAATATTGGTGAGCTGATATGTATAGTACTAACCCTAAGAACAGCTGAATCCCTGCTCCAGCTCGATTCACTGCCACGAGGGGAATCTTCACCTGTAAATAGAAAAAGGCCGATCAAGTCAATGCCTGTATCGACACATCTTAATCGTTCGATATGCAGGTAGTGGCCAATTAAAAAAAGGGGAAGCATGTAAAGTTAGCACCTTGATCATTCAAATGTACCCCTCCATCTTCACCACAATCCTCCATCATAGCAACAGCTTCCTCATCTTGGTTGTCATAGGCCAAAGTTTCCTCTGTTTGTGGGATACTCAAATCTTCCACCAGCTCCAGTTTTATTCCTTCAGATTCTGCAGCTTCTAACAACCCAAAAGAAAAACACCAAACGTTCTTCAATCAGAAAAGTGTCCGCTAGATGGAAAGACCAATACTTTATAGCATTCTCTACATGGATCACACCAACGCATTTCACAAGCTGTCCGTGCTGCTAGATGGAAACCAATGATCATCCGAACCCCACAAATTCTAACCAAGAAAAATTTTCTGCTTCGCAGATAGGCCTCAAAATCTCACACGCTAGTATGAAACCCTAACAAAGTTCATAGTCTCTGCCCGTCCCAGAAACATTCTGAATCCAGAAAGCAGATGTACCACCACAAATTGAACATTGGAAATCCAGGAGGCACAAAAACAAATTCCAACCGCATCACCCTAAACTAGCAATCAAGTAAGCAGAGCATTCATTTCCCAATAAAGAGGGGGACCCAGAAAACCAACCGTTCTCCTTCTTGATCTCCTCCCTCCGACGCTTCCGATCTCTGGCCCACTCGGTGAGGGTGACGCTACCATCTCCGCCGTCGATTTCGGACTCCGGTAGGTCGGGGATGATCTCTAGCTGAAGGATCCTATCGGAGAAATTCTGATCGTTGAAAGCGAACCCGAAGTCGGAGTCCGTACCGGAAGCAAGCGCCTTCGTCGTAGAGAATTCCGAGTCCATTGGTGTTTGAGGTTCGACGAGGTCGGCGCCGAGCTGTTTCATAGGCCGCCCACCGCCTCTGCCACCACTGGACCGAACGATCGCCACGGAACTCAAAACGATTTGGCAAACTTTTCCTTGAGCTGGGCTTGAGAGTCTCTGTAATTAGAAAACGAAATCTTCAAAGGGAGACTGGGGAGGGTAATTCCGGCAATGTGTATTTTTTGCGGAGATTAATTAATTAATTTCCTTTATTTATTTATCTGAAAGTGAAAAAGTTATTCATGTGGTTATAAAAAAAAGTTATTCATGTTGGTGATCCGTAAAATAATAATGCAGTACTAAAATTGGGCAGATTTAATGATTGTCTGTTTTTCCCCCCCTTTTCTGGTCTAAATTAGTGATCGGAGTTTGCATTGACTTGGTTTGGTCAAATTTGATGTGAATTCAATCAAAATTCAAATTGAGATAAGCCATTGTTTTTTTTTTCCGACTTATATCAATTTGAATTTTGATTGAATTCACATCAGATTTGTTAATGGACGAATCTTGAGCTGAAGAATAGTTTAAATCAGCACAACTTAATTGGAACTTTTAGATGAAGTGGGGAGAGAGAACGAGAAAGTGATAGAGGCAAAGAGCAAAACGAGAATTGACAGGAGATGCTAAGATCGACATTAATATGGTTTTTCGAATATGGGTTGGAAATGAAAATGATGGCGTCCAGTAATCGGCGATCGAGATTTAGGGGTCGTTTGCTTGATGGATTTGGGTCATGGATTTGGGACTCAAATTCCAAGCATGATGGATTTTAGCCAAGTCCATTGTTTGTTGTCAGATGTTAAATTCGTGGGGGTCCACGGATTTGTTCTCTTTTTGGATCCAAATTCGTGGACCCCACGGACTTGTAAATCCCACATATTATGTTGGGATTTGTAAATCCTTGATGGCTAGTTATATTTATAGCAAATCCATCATAATTGTATCATCAAATCTATCATGCAAACAATAGACTCTTCAAATCCATGATGGTACAAATCCCTCATAAATCCAAAAGTTTCTTAGAGTCAAAACCCTCATTTTTCAAATCCAACAAGCAAACGATCCCTAGAATTTCGAAGTCTAGAGCATTAAGACGAGATCAGTGGTGACAATTTTTGGGAGAGAATAGAGGAGTAACATAAGAAAGAGGAGTTGGCCAATTCAGGAAAGCTAAAGGTTGGGGATGGGCTGGGTTTACATTTCGGAATTGGGTAATTGGGTTGAGAAAATAGTTGGAGTTGGGTTATATTGGGCTATGATCATTGGGGTTGAGTGATCGATCTGGATGCTTAGTTTGGTTTTTCCGAACCGAACTCCAAATAGTAGCAACTACCCAAAATAATGGGGAAATTTTAAGCAAAATATAAGTATAAATGGGAAATTGATAAAGTTGGGCGAAAAAGGCTTTGTTATCGTTGTTTCGGTATCTTGTTGACCCGTGCGCTTTATTTTTTTTCTTGATTTTTACCTTTTGATAAAATTTTGTATATTATGGTATCTTGATATTTCTTTTGAAATATATATGTAAAGAAATAGAATTGATGGAGTTGGGCATACACATATCCATAGCTCTGGACTAGACCCACTCGCAGCACAGTGTAAATAAGCATCGAGGCAACTCGTCCATGTTAACATGGGCCTTTGTGCCTTTAGGCCCGCTTGAGCAGTAGAAATCCATTTTTGATATGTAGGTTAGTTACTGAAGGCAGAAATTGGACTCAAGCACTTGCTAGTTGCTACTAGCCTACTACCATACTCGTCCATTGCGTTTACCGAGAAAACAGCCAGATACAAAAGAGTTCAAATGACCTAAAACATCCAGGCAACCAAATCGAACCCAATTAAAGAAGAGAATAATGAAAGGGCTTTTCGTGTCACCAAATGGGCAATCCTATTACAAAGCCTACCAACAAACTGGACAGAAAAATGCACAAAGGATTGACGAATCACCATCA